CCACTGTTTGCCACAACTTGACTGGGATCGACTGGTTTTCCAATACAATCGAGTACCACCTAATGTGTGTGGTCATTGTCATAACAACATGGCCAAGCGTTCTGTAATTAGTTTGAGACGTGAACCCTACAACAAAGGTGGATGTCGAGGCAAGAATATACCTGCTACTCAGTCTGTGGCTTTTCGTCAGATCGGGAGGCACCGGCATTATTTGTAGCCATTTCCCTCCTAGCTGGGTTTAAAAAATGGCAGTTTTGATTTTCATGAATGAGATAATCTAATGACTCATGGAGTCACCCCCTGACAGGCCAATCTGTGGCATGTAGTCTGACGATGTCACACTTTAGTACCTGCTTGTATCACTGGAAAACTGTGGCGAACTGTTGCAAGTCGATCTGAGTAGGTACCAATGGAAACGGGGCTTTAGTGGTAGCGAGCAGTTCTGTGAGTTACTGTTGCCTCCCTACCAGTTCGTTATCCTCTTACATCAACATGCCATTTTCACACACTACTGCTGACTGGATATTTTGATCTTATTCGGACTATTCTCTGTAATACTAGACATTGTTTGGGGAAAATCCCAGTAGATCAGCAGCTTCAGAATATTCTCAGAATCAACGACTGTGTCACGTTCAAAGTCAGCTGTGTTCCTCATTCTGATGCACAGTTTGAACTTCAGCAGGTTGCGCTCTGTAGATTAACTCATGTTTTAACTATGTAGTGCCATCACAGACTGGGTAATCTATTTTTAGCAAACAATTAGTCAGCCTTTTCCGCTTCTCAGACACACCACATCTTTAAGGAAGGCTTTTGTTGTAAACATTACAGAAATTCCTACTTTATGCTGCAGATGTTCCTGACGTGACTTTACTAACCAATTGTTCCTCTGTTTCAGGACGAGGGGAAGGACAAGGCTCTGCGGTCCTCTCAAGCGTTCTTCTCTCAGCTGCAGGACCAGGTCAAAAGTCAGATCAAAAGTGCAAAGGACCAGCCTACAAAGAAGAAGAAAAACAAAGAGGTTTCTGTTAGCAAACTCAAGTTATAATAGCTGTGATGGTTTGTTAGGGATTAGCAATGATTTATTGTATATATTTTTATGAAAATGCAAAATAAATGCTATGTCTGAAATTCTTGTAACATTTTGATTAAAAAAAATCAGGTTTACAGATGTGCTGGTGTTCTGTTTGGTTTTTGCTCATTTCCCATATCCCTCTGTATGAATAGAGACCCCACCACATGGCTTTAGACGGTCCTCTGAATATTAAGCCATTTTCTAAGGGAGTCTTATCTCTTGACACTCTTATAAAATGTAAGCTAGTGATCCTCTGAATCATTCTGGGCAGACAACTGGGTATTGTGCTCACTCTGTAGTGTGGGAACTATGCAAATAATATAAAATAGCCTCTAAACCTTGAATAAAGTAGGTACTTCTCTCACTAATGAATATTAATTGATATCTTTTTGTAAAGACTGTATTTATAGATCAAAGACATGTAATTTCCCAGACTGGAAAAGATCAATTTCACAGTGAAAAGCAGCTCTCAGCAATTCTTATATTGATCATTTTAATTATTAACCAATCGTGTCTGTAGATTAGTCTGTGTATTTTTAACATGTTTGTAGTTGTTTCGGCTTCCTAGTTATTTATTTCATTTAAATCTATGGTACAATGTTTACTTGGATACATAATTTTGAGGTTTATTTCGTTTAATTTATGCTGTGATAAACCACAGATTTGAAACAGACTGCTTCATCTTGATAATATATTCATACTCCCTAGTCCCTAAACCCACCTTTGTCCCCCCCTAATTTTATCAACTGGGTTATCCCACAATTAAATTATTTCAAGCAAAGGAAAAAAACAAACATTGTAATTAGCCTCCACCTAACTTAACCTCTGTTAACTATTAACTTTTGGAGTAGTCTGTGTTAGGTAGCATTTAAACTCATTGATTTACCCTGTACTGTGGACAGCTGCGGTATTTCTAAAATAGCATACAAACTGTTTTATTTATATATTTATCTATAAAAAGAAGTATTAGGGCCACATTTAAAAAAAGGAAAGGAAAGGAAAAGGTAACGTCATCGGCTGACAACTGGGTTACACCTGCACCTGTTGATTTGATTCGGACAGCAACCCCGCCCCTGGGTTATTCCCCATGACGTCACTGGAGATAATCACGGAAGTGAAGTGAGCGACGAAACAAGACAGACTCAAATAAGTTGGTGTGTGCGCTCGACTCGTATTTACAGGTAAGCTTCTGGCATTTTTTGTTAAACTATTTCGAAACTCTCTGAATTCTTAAAGTCTTTCAGTATATTTGACTTGGTTTTGTTGACGTTAAACGACGGTGCTAGGTCGGTAGCTAGCACAAACGATAACAGAAGACTGCTAACAAAGCAAAGGCTGTAGCTAGCAGATTTGTTCACACAAGCACCGGCTCGTGTTTTTAAAAATGAATGATTGTAAGGTTAATGGATAAAACGGTACTGGACACGATAAGACGGTATCGTTTAAAGTAGCATGGCTGGCCTTCTTGTTACCTGTTCTCGGCGTCAAGCTAAAGCTAATGTTTTGAGTCGTTAGTAGTTTAATACTTTGTGTTGGTAACTAACTTAATGTTTATTCCCGACCTTGTTTACGTGTGTGTTTGTGTTGTGTGTCGCGTGAATGTGCGGAGTCATTGTGTTACGATGGGTTGGTCATGCTCACATGATTGAGTGACTCACTGGATCAGAGATGGTATAGAAGTTAGATGGGCTCCATAGGTCGTCTTCACTTATTTCCCCTCTCCTCTCTCCTGTCCAAAGGCTGTCCGTCATCATGCTGGGAGGAGGTTTCAAATCAGAGAGGCTGAGAGTCAACCTCAGACTGGTCATCAACAGACTCAAACTCCTTGAGAAAAAGAAAAGTGAGTCACCGTGCTGCTCTCCAATAGCTGAAGTGGCTCTTTATTTGTAAAGTAGTTCTAATGTTTTTTTTTCCTTTTCCCATATTGCCAAATTTAACATAAAGCTGAGCTTGCTCAGAAGGCCAGGAAAGAGATTGCAGATTACCTGTCATCAGGTAAGGATGAGCGGGCACGGATCCGTGTGGAGCACATCATCAGAGAGGACTATCTGGTTGAAGCCATGGAGATCTTAGAGCTTTACTGTGACCTGCTGTTGACTCGCTTTGGCCTCATTCAGTCCATGAAGTGAGTACTGAGCATTGAAAATTCCTTACCTTCAGTGTCTGTCCTCGTTAACACGGTTGCTGTTTACCCATTATTAGAGAACTAGATCCAGGCTTACAGGAAGCAGTGTCCACTCTCATCTGGGCAGCTCCTCGTCTGCAGTCAGAGGTGTCTGAGCTAAAAATTGTAAGTTCTATCTAAAAAGTTGTCTCCAGTGATAATAAACACTTGGTATTTACATCTATTCCTTTCAAGTCAGTATTGACAATCTTGTTTCTAAAATCTTCAGGTGTCTGAACAGCTGTGCGCAAAATATAGCAAGGAGTACGGCAAGCTATGCAGGACAAACCAGATTGGCACAGTCAACGACAGGGTAATTTTTTTTCCCAGTGACAGTCCACAAGCTTGTATAGGAATGTATGAACCTTTTGTCTAGTGTGCTCTTAGCGACATCTAATCAAATATCTGATTTCAGCTGATGCACAAACTGAGTGTTGAGGCTCCTCCCAAGATCTTGGTCGAGCGCTACTTGATAGAGATCGCAAAGAACTACAATGTCCCCTATGAACCTGACGCCATGGTCCGAGTAAGCAGCAAAGAATATGTTGTTACTCAATGTGAAAGTTGGAAATTTTGCCCTCTGTTTGTTTATTTACCATCCGCTACTTCTCCGGATAGCCCGAGGTGTGTACTGGGGAGGAGGCAGACCTGATTGATGTCAACAATGACAGGAAGTTTGGAGGAGGAGGTGGTGGAGGATTCACAGCTCCTCTAGCTCCTGGAATCCATATGCCTATGCCCATGCCTATGGCTATGCCAATGCCAACAGCTTTCAACTATCCACCTCCCAATGGAGCTGTAAGAGTTTCCTTTTAAAGACGATGATTTAGTTGAATAATATTGTGTTGCTTTTTACTTTCTGTTACAGATTTAACGTGAACAACATTTCACTGATATTAAAACAAAACACTTTTCTAACTTTGCCTTGTAATGACATGCAGATAATGTTATGCTCATTTTCAGGATATTGCTACATGTGTATCTGGATGGAATTTTGTTTTTGGTTCTCAGAACATCTAAAGAAATTAGCAAAGCAGTAATTTGTTACCACTGGCAGTGACCCCTCAGCTTTTCATCCATTTCTGAAAGGCATAGATGGCATAGAACATTTACACCACTTGTTCTAAAGAAAAATGTATGTTTTGTTACATTTTAACAGTATGAAAAGCCCTTCACAGCTGCTTCTGACTTTTGAAGCATGTTGTTTTGAGGATGATTTAATGGCAGTAAGATCACCAGGATGAAATAGATTCTAGTTTGTTGTATTTACTTTGTATGAGAACTATACACTATATTGATAAAAGTACTGGGCCACCTACACCTATGGGAATCAATGAAGACCCATATCATGAAGCTCCTGGCACACAGTTTTTGGGCTGATGTTAATGCCAGATGTTAGAACTCTATAGTTATTGAGTCAGCAGCCTTAGTGACTCATTTAACAGCCTGACATGTTACACTGGTAACACTGTATTACAGTACCAGTTCAATGACAGTGAATGACCCATTCATTCACAAATGTTCACAAAAGGGGTATGGCCCAATACTTTTGACCTTGTAGACCTTGTAGTGTAATGTGTACAACAGTTTGCTACCTTCCTCAAACTTGTTTGACCTTTTTTTTTCTTCTTTTTTTCCCCCTTTTTATTTTGCTTACCCCCAGGAACAGTTTCATGCACCCGTTGGAACCTACAACAGCTTCCAGCCCCCCATGGGAGGAGGGCAGCCACCTCAGTTGCCCACTTCTCCCCCTACATACGAGTCTGTAAGTCTGTACGACTGAACCCTTCCCCTCCATCCATGCCCCCTTCATGTTTCCAAAGATGGACAGACGGACAGGGCAGGGAACCACTCAGGGAAGAACTGTTTATTCGGCTTGCTTACAGTTCTGCCTGTCCTCCATACTTTAACATTATTTGTCAGAGTTGGCCCAGATTCAGGTTCATCTGCACGGATGTAGGTAGCATGAAATTTGCCAACTTTAACCTACTAACTATGACCTGATCAGCTTTTCTTAGCGGGACTGAAAGAAGCGATAACTGAGGCCCTTTACCAAAAATCATGTTTAGTGTTGCACACTAAAGATGATGGCTTCCATTTTTCCTTTCCTTTTCTTTTTTTTTTTTTGGGTTTGTTTTTGCATCTGCCTTTTTGAAATGAAGTATTAATCAAAATCTTATTAATACTAACAAATATATGTATATATTTGTTTTTGTTTTTAAATATGGGGATGAGTTCATCACAAACACATTTGTTTGTTTCAGATTGACGACCTAACTGAAAAACCTTCTGTTCCTTCCCAGGCCGTAGGTGAGTTCTGTCAACAATCAGCAGCAGTTAAATGATGAGGGGGGAATAGTTTGTTTTCTTATTGTCAGCGAATCAACTGAAATAACTATAACCCACATTGTGCCAGTTAGTCTTGAATAGTATTTAAATCTTTTAACTCTACCCACATGAAATAATTTTTTAAAACATTTCATATATATACGTAACTCTTTGACAAAATTATCTTGTAATTTATTGTGCAAATTAAGCATTATTAGCATGCCAGTGTGCTTGTTGGAAGCAGATTTGCTGCTTTGATGTGTATTTGCTGCAGAAGGATGGTGAGGCACATACTAATGAAAGCAAAGGTTACAGAGTGCAGCTCACAGATGGGGGAGGTCTGTGGAACAGACCTCGTTTGTTTATTTATTTTAATCTGTCTTGTTTGCAGTAGATTTTAACAAGGTGGGAAAATAAAGTAGGGTAGGACTTAAGTTATCCATAAAATGCTCACCTGCCAAACATTTTCCTAAATAATTAATGCCTGTTACTCTCCAGGTCCTGCTCCTTCGGCTCAGATTTATGACAACAACGCTCTTCCAGAACTCCCATCTGTTCCTGACACACTCCCAACATCCTCCTTGGGCAGAAGCAACACCACCTCAGATGACATTGACTTTGATGATTTGACGCGGCGCTTTGAGGAGCTGAAGAAAAAGACCTAAATGCTTTAACCTGATATACATAAACAGGCCTGTGTCACCTACACAGCTCAGAACAGGAAATAGAAATTGTTCAAGGCTCTGAATCAGATTTGGATAGCTCTCCTCCCTCTTTCTTGGTGAAGTAATTTTACACAAATATTAAACATACATGTAATCTATTACCTCATTTATATAGCTGTGACCAGCTAATGAGAGAGAGTACTTTTAAGCGCCACATGTTTTCATTTCTTCTATTTGGCACGTTGGATAAAATCTTAAACAATCATGTTCACCCCTTCTCGCTCCTTATTTAAAATCGCACTGAAGTTTAACCTTTTCCATTTGTCTGTGTGGTAATTAATATGTTCACATGTAGATCTTAAGTGTTGATTTTCCTGAAGGTTTTGGGTTTGATTGATATTTATAGTACATGCCTTTATTCTACTTTGGACACCCTGTCGCTGTGATCTTTGCCACTGTGTCGCTCAGTCCCGTCTCAGACCAGTTTGACAGGTATAGCGGGCTGCGCCACCTCGGTGGCGAACAAGCGTTTACGCATTAAAATCGCCATTTAGTTTCCAAAGTGAGGCTCCAACAGTCAGTGAGGTTTTTCTCAGCTGTACAGGGACACATAGAAGCCATATTTTCAGTGTGTTACGCAGTTTTTCTCACTGTGGGATTGTTAAATACTCATCATTACCAAGCTTCTTAAACTTCAAGGTGTATTTGTATCAGAAAAATTGTATGGTTTCAAACCTTTTCCGTTTGAGGGTGATGGGACACAGATGTAACATCACAACATGTATGGAAATCTGTAATATAAAACACTTACAGCAATATAGGTAGACTTATGTACATGAATGATTTAACTGTATAGGAAAAGGAGTTTGGCAGCCGGGAGTTGTTCAATATTTGACAAATCTGTTTTATATACACTATCTCCAAATAAAGTTTTCTTTTTGCCCTTTTGAATGTCAGTTTTACAAAATACCTGCACTTTTTTTATGACTGAACAAACAAATTTGCAATTAAAATCCTGGCAGGCGAAAGCAGCCAGACAGCAAACTGATTTGATTAGATGTAAAGTTTGAGAGCAGAGGAAAAAGTTCGTGCCATTGTGATCTTGTGCATGGGTCTTGTACTGTATGTTCACCACTCCATTTGCCTTACCTTTCACCTCTCATCCGAGGCCTTGCCAGTCTGTTTTAGGATTAAGCATCTGTTATCCACCAAGACTGGACACATAATGCGTTTTTCAGTTTCTAGTTGACCTTATTTGCGTTACACTCCACAGATTGAGTTTTAATTTGCTTGATAGATTTAAAAAAATCTGTACAGGCACTAGAGGTAGATGTTTCTAATTATTGTAATAAGTGTAGTGAGAGGTTTTTTGTTATTGTTCCTGTAACCTGACTACACCGGGCTCTGCTTGCATGGCAAATAGACGGTGGCCTTGAATAATATGACTCAGCGCTTTGAAAAGCTTCCCCACTGGGTTATACGTGCAGTTAATTAATAGTTTTACATGAGCTGGGAAAAACGGAGAGATAATTAACACTACAGAACTGTGATCTGCTCACTGTCTTTTCTATGTTGGATTGTTCTTTCATGTTAAACTTTAAGACACAAAATAGTGTCTTGTTGCAAAAAATAGTTCCCCTCCCCCCCAAACAATGTATACTACAATAACAATTTAATAAAAGACTATTTGGAACTGGAAAGCTTGTAAGGTCTGCACATAATTTTCCATCAATTTTTCTTTTTAAACAACCTGTAATGCTCAAGGGTAACCAGCAGAGGTCCCTAATGTTAAGGGAAAGCTCTGAAAGGGAAATCATTTTTTCAATGATGTAAAACATACTGCGATTTAAGTTAATGTGAAACTAACCTCTTTACATAATGGATCCTTTCAGTTATCGCAACAGTCTTGCATGAAGTCATAATTGACCCATTTTCTGTTTGACACTTGTGATCAATACAGGTGTGAGTTAAGAGCGACTCAATCATGTGAAAACTCATCCTGTTAAGTTTTAGTGATCATTTGGCTTTGGACAGTCTTTGTGGACTCTCCCCTTTGTTCTATCTTTGAGTTTCTAAAAGTAGGATGAGAGGCAGAGCCTTCAGGTATCAGGCCTCACCCCAGCTCTCAGTTTGGATTTGGGAAAGAGATTAGGCTTAAAATTTTCCTTTTTCCTAAAGTTCATGTTTTCTCTTTCATAGTTTGTTTTATCTGTGTCTCCCTATCGTCTCCTTTTTACCTTTTCTCTTTTGCCTCCCTGAGCCTGCTTATCCTGGAGGTTTCTTCCTGTTGAAAGGGAGTTCTTCCTCCCCACTGTTGTCTAGTCCTAATTATAGGCTTGTTGTTGGTTTTCTATCTAATATTGTAGGATCTTTACCTTACAATATAAAATGCCTTGAGGTTGCTGTTGTTGTGAATTGGTATGAGATGAATTTCTTAAGTGTTGTAGTCTGTGGTCACACTGTTTTACACACTTGTAATAATATTTGTGTTTTTCTGTGTGATTGAGCCGACTGTTTTTTAAACTGGTGTCCAAAAAAGACTCGAGAGTTGTGTTTCCAAGGGTTGGGATGCTGTTGAGATGAGCAGATCCCAACAAACTAAATGTGGGAGTGTGTTTGTAAATAGTAAGTGGACTGCTTCTTATATAGCACTTCACAATTCACACTCTGACGAACGCATCAGAAGCAACTTGGGGGTCAATGTTTTGGCCCACGATACTTTGGCATGTAGACTGGAGCAGCCAGCCACTGAACTCCCAACCTTTAGTGGACGATCTGCTCCACCTCCTGAGCCTCAGCTAGGGAAAATGTGGATGAACATGTGTGGGAAGTACTAAAGCTGGGAGGTAGTTAATTTCTTTTTTTTTTATATTGAACTTATAAAAACATACATACAAAATTTGCAAGAGGTTTAGCAGTAATCATGCAAAGGTCACAAATACCACTTTTTGGTTCAGCTTTCCCGGGTGATCTGGTGTGATAGTCTTTGTGCACTGATGTATTTTACTAATGCAATGACTGTTAATTGTTATGTAAGCTGCTGGTCATCTCTGGGATTCACTAGCGATGCATACACAGATCAGCACATCTCTTTTTGACCCGAGTTCAATTTTATAAATCATTTAAACATTAAACATCAACTAAGCAACTGCAGATTTTACCAGAGAGCTGTTTATTGAAATTCACACATATAATACTACTGTATGACACCAGTGAATAAATAGTTTAAATCATTTGTGATTAAGCACAGAAGATCTAAGACAGGACAATCAGCTGTCTGAAGAACAGCTTGTATTCCCAAACCAAAAGCACAAACTTGAATGAGATCTGTTACATAAGCCTTTTAAACTGAGGACTGAATGAATCTCAAAGATGCAGCCAAGAGTGATAAAGAGGCATGAAACGCACTTTCAGAATCAATTACAGTGACAGGAGTGAAATGAAAAATGTAATCAATTAATCATTAGCTCCCAGATGGGCAGCAACATAAAAGCACCTTCACACTATTTCACACAACTTCATTAACAGTCAGCGGATAGGAGACAGTGAATGCTATTAACCGTTAGAATCATAGGGAAGCATTTAAACAGAAAGCTGTGTTAAAGTTACTGAAAAATAATTCTTTGCAGGTTTTTTTCTGTTGAAATTTTTCCTATTTCTCCTGGATCACTACTTTATTGTACTTTATTGGATAAAGGACAGCTTTTTTCCACACTCAATGATAATAGTTCTTAACGTGTTTACATATGTCTGAATCTCTATATGTGTTTTGCACTAGCATTAAATGAATGTATCAACAGTTTTTTTAAAAAGGAAAAAAAAATCTGTTTTTCTCATACGTAATCATGGTGAATTTCACATGCAAGAACAGTTATTTAATTGCCCATTAGTCTGACTCACAACTTCAAAAAGATTTTCATAGGCACTGGAACCTCTGTACACATACAAAACACCATGATGCAGTAACCTCACATCGTGTCCCTGCCGCTGTACTGTCTGCACTTTTCCTGTTGCTCTGTTAAATGGAGAAGACACAACTGTAAGACTCAAAGCACTTATCTCAAACTCCGCAAAGGGTACATGGATACACAGATGCATGAGAGAAAGGTAACAGGAAAAGAAAAAGATCCGTCCTTTATCGCTGTCAACAAAATTTTCGGTGTGTGTGATCTGCATGATTACATCAGAGCTCTCGGGAGCCAAGCTGAAATAAAGTGGAAAAGGCTTCCTAGGTCATCTTCGTGAAATATGAATGAGACGATTGCAGTAAATCTTTCCTGTGTGTTGAATAATATTTAGACACTATCTCAGGTTAATATGAATCCATATATTTTTTGCATGTTGGTAAATAAATTCTTCCAGTTTGAAATATGAATGATTATTTTTACATGTACACGCAAAATAGGTTCATCCAACCTGTTTTATTTTCTGTGAATTAATGAAAACTTCATATTTTTTGATTTCAGGACAGCCTGGTGACCACCTATCTGACCCATTGTCCTCTGACAGGAGCTACAGGCCACAGGAATTATAATCCCAAGGCCATTTGGACTCTAAGTCAGTGCAAACATGTAAAATGAAATCAGTCCACCACAATTTTGCTTTTTGCAACAAATGCATCCTTGTTGCATCTACTAATTTTTATATATATTCATGAATCTAATTGTTTACATTCAGTTGTATAAGACTGATACATACACAGATGCATGTTATAGTGTTATAGTGGACAATATGTTAAGAACTTTAATGCACCAAACAATAGCAGCTCTCCTAACATCATTATATTTTAGTACGGTGAAAATAAGGCTTTCTAAAAAATTTTATTTTAAAAAAAGTACTCCAAAAAGAAAATATACTGTTTATACACTGCTGAGAAAAATGTCACAAGTAGAACAAAGAGGTCATTAAAGAGAGTAACAAAAGTGACTCGTTTATTCTAATACTACTAATGATTATTATCAAAGAAAAAAATGTTTATTTAATTTTAATATCTATATTAAATATCTATAAAATATTATAAAAACATTTATAAAAGAGAAAAAAATGGGTACTTTTTTGTAAATATAAAAAAATTATTCAACAAAAACATCACATCACAGAATATACTTAAAGCTTTGCACTGACCTGTTCTGGCTGCACAGAGACTACAGAACAAGTTTTTCTTACCTAACAGGACTTGCTCAACTTCTTCACTCTCGTCTACAGCTACAGGTTTGAGCAGCAGGGCAAAAATCACAGCAACGCCTATCACCTGTGAGAAAAAGCAGACCGTACAAGAAACGAATAGTGTTGCATACACGTTTGCAGAAATTTCAAAAACAGAAAGAAACTATAACATTCTGTAGAAACCCAAGTATCTTCAAATACATACATCATCTCAGAGCGTGACATGCAGGAAAACACTTAAGATTATCAGCTAAGCAAATTGACTTAAAAAAAAAGGATTTATTTTACCCACCTTTAGAGGCTGCAGAATAAAGATGCTTTCGAAAAGGGAGAGGCCCAGAGACATGACCCACTTGATGGACTTCTCCTTGCCGTACTGAAAGCCGTACAACAAGGTGAAGAAAGTTGAAATGCCGCTGATGGACAGCAACAGGAACCAGCCTACAAACACAAACCACCATGGCAGCCAACAGCCCAGGATGGTCGTTGCCTTCTTCTTTGGCTTCTTCGCAGGAGGTGGGCTGGGTCGGGACGAGATGGACAGAAAAAACACACGCATGACGTACCAGTTCAGTATAATAGCACAAATAGCTCTGCAAATATTTTTGTCTCACTGGCAGTTGGAGTACTGACCAGTAGGCCAAGTAGCTGCTGAAGACCATCTCAGTCTTGCGAACCAGTGCGTTGGTGTAGTTGAGGGCCTGCTGGTACTGGTCTAGAGTCGCAAAGTATCTGAAATCCAGTTTCTCCAGGCACAACAGGAGATGACAGAGACTAGCTAGGAGAAACTTGCTGCAGTACACCAAGTGATGGTCGCTCTCACTCTCTCCTGAGAAAGATTTATATTCAAACATATACATAAGAAGGTAGTTACATTTCTCTGTGCGTGCCCGGGCATGTCAGGCCTTGAAGTTACCTCTTTCTGAGAAGAAAGGTAACACTACTGTCACACTACACAAGGCAGAAAAGTGCTGCTGCTTGAACTGATCAGACAGAGGAGAAGTTATTTGCCTAAAACTCAATTTGAATAAAAAGAAATAGGTCCTAGCAGTGTGCTACATGGAAATATTTAAAAGACACAGCTGATGGTATTGATGTTTTTTTCCTGAAAACATAAAAAAAAGAAAATAAGCCTTAAATACAAGCGTCATGTTTCTCAGCACCGTTGTTTCTTTGAGATAGGTCTCCCTCTGTGAATACTGAAGTCTGAATCATAAAGTTGTGCCGAGCATTTGTTAAAGGTAAAATGTGCACTGCACAGCTGCCTTAGTAAGAAAAAGAGTATAATGGTTACAAAATTTAAGTTTTTAGATTGTTTGAAATAACTGTTGATGGGGTGAGAGCAAGGAAATAAGCGTTCACTAGCCTTCTTATTAGTTCTTCTCAGTTAAAGTAGCAACAAACTGCTGTATTCATAAGCTTATGCATCTTATGTACTCTTTTATTAGTTTAAGATCACTAATAGTATGTTGCTTAAGTGTATTCATGTTATATTATAAACATTTTATGTGTCTCTTTTTTCTTTCCTTTGCTGAGATTAAAGTGAATGAAATAAAACTACCTTGCATGTGCTGAATTAATTCATTCAACCTGTCCAAGGCCGAGAAGAGATCAACAACAGACTCCAGTCTGTGCATCTCTAACATCTTGTTTCTTGGGCTCTTGCTCGCCAAAAAAATGATCTGCTCTACATCCTGTTGCAGGGAAGAACAACAAGTACTGAATTATACATGAGCGGTGCACTGTTTCACTGCATAGATATGTATGTAATAGCAAAGGAGAAGCCAGAGCTACACGGACTATGACATGGACTATATTCAAAAAACATCTCAGGCTTGCAGGTTCTGTGATGAGTACGGGTCATCTGACAAATATAAACATGTAACGCACCCTCAGCACAGTCGGTATGTTGACTATGGGGGGTTTCACGTTCTCCTCAGGGCCAGCTTTTTTAGATTTTGGAACTATGCGAGGTTTGATGCTTCGAAAGATTGTGATGATGAGGATGTTGATTGGGAACATGAGGAGACCACACTGCACGCCCACCATGAGGTCCTGCCAGGTCATCTTTATTGAACCTGGACAGACACAACAAAGGACACGGTGATGATGATGTGAAGCAACTAATACAGCTCCAGCTAATAACACCCAAATAAACAGCTGCAAACAGTAATGCAATGTTTTACTGCAGTGTTCTTTCTCAGTTGATTTTAACAGAAAGCTGTGTGCGATTGTTTGCTCTCTGACCTCGTGGAATCAACTTTACATTATTTCTGTTGGAATATTGAATATCTATCCATACAATAGCAAGGTGTGACTAAAGGTCACATCAACAGAAGATCCAAGTGCAGAATGTAGAAACTCAATAACACATAGATCTGCTAAGAAAGCAGCAGTTTTAACAGTGTTTGGCCAGGCGGAGTTAGTAAGGTTCTGAGTTTGGTGCACATCTGGATGCAGATGTGTTGTAGGTAATTATTAAGAACCAGTCATGTTCACCTTTGGCATGCAACCTCGGTCCTAGATACAATCGCTTGTGAGCAGTAATCCTTATCCAAACACTGCTAATATTAGGACAAAGAGCAGGTTCCCCTCCTGAATTAAACTTTGTTGTTTGATGCTAAGAAACAGATGTAATCAGTAATCAAACAATAATCTAAGACTTTGTAATCACCAATTGAAAAGAGTATTGTTGAGTTTGGATCCACAGGGATGTTCCAGAAGGCGATGTTGATGGCCATGGTACAGAGCAGAAGGCACATGCAGCAAGAAACCCTCTGGGCACGTGTGAACGGGCTGCGTGAGGGAGGATCCACGATGGACACCCAGATGTGTTCGTCTCTAAATCCAGTCGATGTCCTGGTCTGGAAAATGTTCCTGAGAGAGGACAGAGAATAAATAATATCTTAATGTGAGCGATGTGATGAGCAATTTATTTTCAGCAGTGTAAAGGGACTCTAACCTGAAGCTGGCAACCTCGTTGACTTTTGCAGCATTGAAGGTTTTCTTGGTCATGCCGTCTCCGCGCTCAGAACTCAGCCAGCATTCACAAAAGAAGTGCCACATGTGTCGCGTTTGGAGGTCCTGTACAGTCATTTTGTTTATGTACCTTTAAAGAAAAAATATACAGAAATGAAAGATGACACGTTTAACATTTACCTAAGGAATTAAAATCATGGAAATAAAAAGCAACTTTGCAAACTAGGAGCACCAAAACAGAAAAAATACCATGTGAAAGAAACACACACCAGACGTCATTAGTAGGACCCAAATCTATATATTCATAGCCACACTGTAAATCATACCTTGCTTTATCATCTATTTTACTCTAAATAGAGTCACAGTTAACAAAATGAGCATTATATTGCATTAAAGGAGACTTGAAATGAATAAATAAGGGCATAAACCCATCAGGAAGGTATTTAAAGGCATGTTTAAGTACCTTATTGCACCCCTCGCTTTTGACTAGCCCCTTACCTGTGTAATACCAAATCAATCCAAGTATAAAAAAAACACACAGCTGTCTGTGTAGTATAGTAGTCTTTAAATAGTTGCCAGCTTTTCAACACGTATGAGAGAAAACATTCTCATTTCTGATGAAAAGCACTTCATCCTGATCTGATGTAACGCCAAATGATCTACTTTTTGCTGCTCATGTCCTTACCACGATGGATGACCTCCAGAGTTGTCGTGCTGCAGCCTGATGGTCTGCACTTCACCCAGTGGGAAGGGTGTGGTCAGCACGAAATAATCGACAGATCCTCTCTCAAACACTGGCTTCTCTGGGTCTGTGAGAGTGTGTATGTTACTCTCTGCTTCTGAGCCAATCAGCTTCACTGTGACCTGCGGGAGAGCACAGCGTACCGATTACGTGACCCAGACTGTATATACTTGAAGGACCGCACTATTTTTGGCCTTGTGCAACAAACTGTGAAGACTTGACATAACCGGTGACCGAGGTTTCTAGAGTGATTTCATGTGTAATTTCAAACCGGCTTCCATTCATTTAAGCACCTTCCCTCTTCTTGTAGATATAATATTAGTGCTTGCCAAATAATGTTAGGAAAACACAAGTTAACAATATTCTTTGACATGTAGTCCTTAGGAATTTCTTTCATACTTCTTCATTTATAGTTATTATAGTATTGTCGTTATAGTGAGTGACTCTGTCAACCTATCCAGCAATCCAGTGTCAGTGGGAAGTTGTGAGTTGGCTGTAAAAGAGTCTTATTCATTAAAGACAGGTATGTCATCCTGTCTGAAAACAACACTAAGATGCCTGTCTGAGCATTGAATCGGGTTTGTTTTCTGTAATCATCTCTTATCCACAGTGATTGTGGTTTATAGTCTTCTACATGTAGCAAGATTTAAATGAGCCTATCCTTTAGGGAGGCGCCCATATTTACATAGTCCTTTTTCCGATGGCCGTGTTTGCTTCTTGTTTGCCTAAATGGAACTTTTTTTTTCTTTTTAACAAATATATTGACTTGTTTTAAATGTAAATGTTCTTTATCAACTAAATTCCCACTATAAACTGAACTGAATCCATTGCCTGTCTGTAAGGTAGTGAAAAATTTTTGTTAAACTGTCAGTGCTGCATGATACTGCAAATTTTGGTATCAATCTGATACCGTGTAAATACAGGGCCAGTATTGTGAAGACCGACACTTTGCAGGGGAAAGCAATGGGTCATGATGTATCAGATGAGTCCTCATCAATTTGCAAATTCTAAACACATTTTAATGACCACTAAAAACTGTGATTTATACTTTTCACAAAACTTAGTTAATGCAACAAAGCAATGCTTCTCAGCTTTTTGTGCATTTTGAAACTGAGACCTGGAATGTTGAAGTGTCTCTAAAGCTATATTGTGCCATCAGCTACAAATAAAGACGTGACCATCAACACAAAAGGCTTCAGAGATTTTTAATAGAGCATGTTTGAGGTATATTTTTCATTAAAAAAAATATTTAACACAGTTCAGTGGACTACATACTGAACTTAAAGGATGCAAGCAAAGTATCAATCCTATTGTGATAGTATCAATAATACTAATACCAGCGCTGGTATTAGTATTATTGATACTAAGCACCTTGAGATGACTGTTGTTGTGATTTGGTACTATATAAATAAAACTGAGTTGAAATGATATTTTGATTGATCTGCCCATCTCTGCTGTCAGTGGAAAAAAGACTTACATTGGCACTGGTCCCAGCATTTCTGCGGCGTCCAGTTTGGATGCCGATCAGGTAGCTGTACTGTGCAGCTGGGTGATTGTCCTCCAAGAGTGTCATCTTTCTCTGATGGTTCAAAAACGTACAACATTGTGATGTTAAATAACATGAAAATAAACACGCAAAAAAAGGCTGGATTTATGAAAACTGGCGGGAGACAGGCTGACCCTTGTGCGTGCCCTCCGGTCAGAATAGCAGGCCCACAGCAGTGTCATCAGGTAGAGTCCGAAAAATGCACACAGCAGGGCCAGCACCACATAGTTCTGATTCACAGTGGCAAACAGCTCCGCAGTGCGGGATATGTCGACGTAGTTTGGCATCACAAAGAAGGAGCTCCCAAAGACAGTGAGGTGATTACAGAGACACTGCGTTCGGTGCGGAGTGCTTTCTTTCCCCACCTGAGGAAAAACACAACACATGACTGACTGGTACTCGCCTATGCTACTTTAAGAATATTATAGTGCATGCAGAGCCAAATGATCAGATTTTATCCAGGGGAAAACATACCATACAGCCTTCAGTGCTCCATTGCTTTGCGTCTGGGTCCCAGTACAGGCACTTGCTCGTAAAAGTGGTGATCTTCAGGATCAAGTCCTGCTGCCGTTCAGAATCAGAAACTCTTGTATCAATATACCAAATCCCAGGAGTCTTTTGTAACATCTCTGGTGTTATCATCCAGCGAAAGCCCCCTAAAGCAAAAAAGCAAACCCCCCCCCAAAATAAAACTTAAATATACTGCATAAATAAGTGTTTTTGCTATGATCAGTACATATAAATAATACCAGAGCGAGGTGTGGCCATTCTAGTGACCTAATTTGACTTTGCTGACAGCTACCTGTGCGGTTCAGTACAGTTCTGTTGCTGTAGTATGTGTTATTAGGAGGCAACCCATGAGACAAGAGGAGAACCAGTGACACATTCACATTGGGCTCCACGCCGAAGAAGATCGTCACATTAGGGTCTGAGACATTGAGTCTAGTCACCGATTTTGAGTTTTTCTCTAACACGACAGTAGTGTTGATCAGAGCTGCAGCATTTGGACGAGCCAAAAAGATCTGGTGAAAGGAAGGAAAGAATTAGTGGCATGAAGAAAAACATCTTATTTCAGTCTGTGTGCTGAAAAACAGGTTTTAAAATTAAATATTCAGATGTTGTTGTTTTAAAGCAAGCTTCCTAGTATTAACCGATCCATCTTGATTCATATCTAATCAGTTATTTACTAGTTACATATTAGAAACTATTAAAACTATAAACCAGGCATCACTGAAAGCTTTACTGTACTTACACCTCCATTCTTCTAACTGTAGCTACACTAAGAAAAGTCACCTCCTGTGACAACTGACATTTGAAACAATTAGCAAATGAAGGAACTGCTGGCATTCCTTATGCAAAAATTCAATAAAACAAAAAAGTAAAACTATGACCTTAAATCGTGTTATTTTAGTAAAGATAATTGACACTAATCACGATGTTTAAACTGTTAATTATTAACGTCATGTTATTGATACATACGCATATAATTGATCTCATCTAAGTAATTGTGCCTTTGTGCTTCCAGTAGGCTATTGTGCACTTTCATACCTCCCGGTACTGGTATTTTCAAAACTGACAATAAAACAAGATTTGTGATTAGATTTTTTTTTCTTAATTTTTCTATAGCTGTGATGTCACTTTTGTAACTGCGTTAGGTGTGTTGACTGTGCAGAGAAATTTGATATTGGCAGGTGTGTTGGCAAAGAGGAGTTCAGGAAGACAGCATGTTGGAGTACACTGAGGATGAAGGCTTGAAAAACAGTATGTAAGTTAAATGACTAAACATTATGAATTTTTAGACTTTGTATGTGATTATTTTTAACCGTTTTTATGTTGTTTGTTTTGTTTTGTGGCTTCATTGTCTGTGTAAGCATCTCAGCATGTTTATTATGTTTTGTCTAATTGTGTATTTATTTTTGTTTTTCTGTCTTTTTCTACTACAACTGCAAGACACTGCAATGTCAAAATGTCCACTGTATAATGAATAATGTCGACTGAGCTGTTCTCATACAGTAAGCAGAAAGTTGGCTGTACCTCCACCCTCTCTGTCAGGTTTGCCACCTTAATGTCCTGCGTTCCATCACTAAGTGAAAGGCTGCACACACTCCCTGTTATGTTGTCTTCAGATGGATAGGGATTTTCATTGAACGTAGTCATCTAATAGTGACAAATGCTCAGTTAAACAGGCTGTGAATGTCAGCAAAGATAAAAACACTAATGATGATAACACACACACATACTCAGACCTGAGAGATGACGTTGCTGTACTTATTAAGCAGTGGTCCAAGCACTGAATTTGAAGGGAGCTTAGCGGAATTGCCAACTTTTTCTGAACCCAGCACTGAACTGCCAACGTCAGCAGGTTTTTGTCTGATGGAGGGCGAAATTAATTTTATATGTAAAAGTTTTTAAAGCAGAGGCAAGTGACATTTTAAAGCAAAATACCCACCTTTTCTGATAAACGGTGCCCATTGGGTATTCCATGACAAATTGGTCCTCTCCTGATAGCAGGTTAGCAACTTTCGCAAAAACCTTAAAGATATCTCCAAACCAATCCTGGAGAAGAAAAAACATCATTCCAGTGTGAGAACTGAAACAATAACAGAGACATTTATGTTGCTGGTGATGTAGTTACTTGAACTTACTTTAGAGTTTTGGTTGTTTTTAAGATTGCAGTTTTTCAGTGACAGACTCAGGATGGCACTGCTGCAGTTAAGGATGTGATTGAGTGACTTGGTGTTGTTCAAAGCAAATGAGACGTTCAGTAAGTCAACACTTTCCGACAATTTTCTCACGAATGTTTGCTTTTGGAAGAAAAAGGAGGGAGAATTTAGCACAGCATGAATATAAAAACATGAGAATAAAACAGTAATGATGACAATATGGGCATATCAATGGAAACCCTAAGCAGCTCACAGAGCTGGAGGGAATTTGGGTGGAAAAACCTGATAAGATATTTTATTACACCTCACCAAAAATCTCACTGTGAAGGTAACCCTCCCACTTGCTGGAGAAATTGTGGAAATACAAATGCAAATCACTATCATATTTTCTGGGACTGTCATGTTATTAAAGGGAATACATGCAGAAATACAAGAGACATTTGGAAAGTAAAACTCTATTTTTTGGACTTATGCCAGAAGGATGGACAAAGAACGATAAATACTTGTTTAATATTTTACTGGCAGCAGGCAAAAAAGCCATCACAAAAAAATGGCTTTCTTCTGAGAACCCAACTATGAACATGTGGATGAACATCACAATGGACATTTACAGGATGGAGAAAATGACAGCAGATGTGAACTACAAGAGGGGCCTGTTTGTATCACGATGGAAGAAATGGATGGACTATATTAAAAAACGCAGGCCAGTTTTTGATTTTGACGGTGTTAACTACTAGAAGACTAGAGGAAATATTAGTTATATTAATGGAAACAAAAACACGTGCCTTTTTTTTCCTTTGTATTTTTTATTTATTTTTCTGTATTGCTTCTTTTTCTTTTTTCTTTCTTTCTTTTCTTCTTCGTTCATTCCTTTTGTATGGATATTTTTGTTGTTTAAATACAGAAAAGGGGAGGAGGATGTAGTGACAAATTGCTGAAGCTGATGGTATTGTACAGTAATTCCTAAATGTCAATTAAAAAAAATAAAATAAAAATAAAACAGTAATGATGAAAGTGTTCTTGCTTTCCTAAATAAAGGTACCCACCCTGTTGCTATCTGTCGGTTCCTCTGGTGTCATGTCCATCATATGTAGTACTCTGTCTGCATCCTGTCTCAGAAACAAGGGACAGCTTTTAACTCTGGGGTACTTTTTATAAAAAAAAATATTTGCAATTCAAAGCTCCTCATAATTTATAAAAAAAATATGTTGATATGTAAAATGAATTGTCTCACCTTGAGAAATATGTAAATGTTTGAGGTTTTCAAAGCATTTTGAAAATAGTCAAGGTTTGAAATTAAATCTGGAAATAGATCCCTTTTGTGCCCTGGAATTAAAGAGTATGTGATGTTTAACAAGGTCCAGTAAAAAAAAGAAAAGAAAAAGACAGAGGAAAAAGCGATACAACACTAGATTTATGTCATTTAGGGTGTTGAATAAGAAGACACAAATAAAGTGCATTCTAACTTACGAAGTTTGGTTGCATGGCTGGAAATTTTGGTACACTACAAAGAAAACATGAACAAGGGGGACAATATGAAAGCTGAGTCTTGGAGGCTTGCATGGCTTATTACTGCCTGTGAAATTGATTTGTCTTACCTTTGTGTTTGAGGGAGACTGTAAACCTTTAAAACACAAAGTTATGTTATGAATGAAAGAGCACAAATGAAGAATGAAAACATATCTGGTTAGGTTAAAGCTCGGATGAGAAAGCTTCACGTACTGTGGGTGCAGAGGAAGCCTCTTTTCTTTTTACAGTCAGATGTTACGAGCTGGAGAGGATTCATTTTCATGTATGTGCATGACGTGTTTTCTGTTGAAAAGAAATGGCATTAGGAAAGGTTAGTTTTTGAGACAAAGGTTTAACAACGAGACAACAACTAAAAGGGCTGCAACTGTCAATACACGGCAATTATTTACAAATCAATAATCTATAGGTAAAATGTAAACAGATGATCCCAGAAGCCACATAATGCCATGTGTAAAGTCTTCTCATTTCTTGCTTTATGTAATTAAAAACACACATTTGAATGATCATAACACAGGTGGATGGAGCAGATTTTCCTTTTTGATCCTGGTAGTGTTGTGGGAATCTTGTGAGGCAAATATCTCATCGTAGAGATAATCCTTCAGGTACGGAAACTTGTTTCTGCCACCATAAGTTAAAATTTTGTATTATTATCTAAACATTTTGACCTAATAACTTGAAATTTCAAGCTGTTTTCTCAATGCTTGAGAAACACAAAAAGTTTTCTTTGCTACAGATGTGGAAACAAATTTCCATATTCTGGAGACATGGGTGTAAAGTATAAAATATATAATCAAGGAGAAGAGTTATCAGCACAGGTGTTCATTTAGTTTTGAAGGGTTTCATTTCACAGAGATTTCCATATACCTTCATTCCTTGTCCCTACATCTACTTTCACTTCTAGACAAGAGAATATGCGCTCTCCCACAGCTGGACAATATGCAACCAGGCTAGCCTCGAACCCTCTGCAGAAGACCCGTGGTTAGCTCATCGAGCTTTATTCAGGCTCTACCAAGCCTGACTCGTCTCACCCTCCAAAACAGGCCTTGCATAAAGACGCAAAGTAAAAAAAATCTTAATCCCTCACAGGAAGCAAATAGTGTTGGAAATCTTATTGGGTAATTTATTTATTGTGATCTGCAAGTTTGTCTTATTTTATGATATGAATCTTCTTTAAAAAGCAAAGCAAAACAAAAACAAAACAAAGCATTTACACACCCAAGGGAACATATTCAAAAATATTTAAATTCAATTGCTGCTGGTGACATGACAAAAATTCAAATGAAACCCAGCCTTTTCTCAGCACACAAACGTCATCAACCTCTCTTACGTTTATGTCAATTTATTGTAATGTATAATTATTTCTTCTTAACGATATAGTGACCTGAACTTACTTTCAGGTGTTGGTTGATTTGAAAATGGCAGTATTTCAGTGAGAGACTCATGATGACACTGCTACAGTTAGTGAAGAGATTTGAGGGTTGTTTAAAGCAAACAAGACATTCAGTCTCTTTTTTAAGATTATTTTTATGGCATTTTGATTTTTTAGATGCAGACAGACAGGGAAGTTGAGTGAGAGAGAGAAGGACTTACTTGCTCACACAGTGGGCTAAACTGGCAATCGACATTCAGTATCTTATTGCTTGCCAACAAAACTATTGTGATTAAACCATTAGCAACCCCCCCCCCCAAAAAAAAAACCCCAACAAAATAAAACAAAACACTGGTGATTGATCAAATCAAACAGCCAATTATTACTTTTTTCTTTTCTTTTTTTCCCAACGTCTGTCAGACATGCCTTCACTTGAAAACTCACAGGCCACAAAAGCACAATAACCTGTGCAACAGAAAATAAAATTACGGCACCAAAATGCATGTTGTGTTTGTGTATTTCACTTACTATTGGTGGATTTCCAGTTATCCTTTCCAACTGTCTTTTCAAGCCACCATGTGTGATTGAAGTTGGTGTTCCAGTCTCGGGTTATGTTGTCCAAGAAGATTTTGGTTGGGTTGTTCATCACCTTCAGGAGCTCTCCTCCTTGCTTTTCACATCTGCTCCTAGCCTGGGAATAGGTTTTCGGTTCTCCAACAAACTCGAAACATACATTTCTGAAAACAAATTCACACTTTGCCGTGAAGTTGTTTCTTGGACAGTTCTCGGTACTTTCAGCTACACACAGAAATCCAGCTGAAATCCACACAAAGACAGCTGTCCGGAGTACCGTATCCATTGTTATTGTTCTGTGGAGAGCACGAGCGCTTAGTGCTGCTCGAACTGTGGCTGGAACAGATACTGAGCAAGGTCACTTCAATCCATCACATGAAAATCAGAGAGCTTTCTCCAGAGAAACCCTGCATATATTCTTAATACATTAGGAAAATCACCCGAGACACTCAAACAAGATGCAAACTGAAGGAATCACTCGGTGTCATTAAAGGCCAGTCAGGCTGACCTTCTAAGAGCAAGGACAATTCCATTTGATTTGCAGTTAACAGTAAAAACACTTTCTTCCATTACAATGACATTTTCCCCCCAAAATAATTCTTGAATCAACGCTTGCCTGTCTTCATGTTGACTTGGTTGGTTTACAATGTACAGTGAAATTCTTATTTTGTCAGTCTCCCTT